ACCACCCCGACGTCGTCGCCGACCCTCAAAAAGTCCTGGGTTTGAAAAACAACTCGCCACTGTATAATTGTGGACTTGCCGTTCACGGCCATGGCAGCATGCATTGATGGTTTCTGACCAGATCTTAAGCTGACGCCCCGCATCGGCTGCAGAAATGAGCCACGTCCATGCCATTGATGCCACAGGTCGACACCAACTATGCTTGCTTCTTGCAATGGCCTCTGTCCTCCTCCTTGCATTATTGACGTGCAAATTCTATGTGTCCTGGGTTGCGCCATATTTTCAAAATCATTCATGTGATTGATGCTCCGTTGGCTGTCCTCATGATTCTCTTCGAGCGATGTCATGCACGGTCCCGAATAAGCTCGCGCTTCCAGACCGTGTAGAAAACAAGCATAGCTAATTCCATCCACATGGATGACAATATATCGATCTCCGTCTGGGCGCACGTATCCCTGACTAATCACACCACGTGATGATCTCACGCGGCCATGAGAGCTGACGGCCCACGTTCCAAGTGTGACATCACGTCTTGGATGCACTGCGGTTCGCAACCCCTCACCAAGCAATAGCAACGGCGTAACATACTTGAATTCAAAGCCCCGCGTCTGCCGAAGTTTGCCGTGACAACATGATGATCTGTTTCCAATGCTGATACCTAGATGGCGGGAGCCCTCCGAGAGAAACGGGTACTCTATCCGAGCTGAGTTTCCCAATATGCCGACACATCAGACTTGTCGAAACGGCCTCAGCACACGTCCGGCGGTGGATGTTATCGTTGTATGACCGGTGAACATTATGGACGCGCGTGACATGCTCAAGATTTATCACGTGATTGTTGCGTGGGTTCCTATCTTTATGGTGAACTTCACAATGTGCTCCAGATGGTGTTTGCCCCAAACCTGCATAACTGCAGCAAGACGGTGAACAACCTCGGTCCCGCCTCCCGTCCTCATTTGTAAAGCCCCAACGTACACGTCCGTGCTTGCTCCTGCTGCAACATGACGGTGAGCAACCTCGGTCACGCCCCCTGTCCTCATTCGTAAAGCCCCAACCTGCAAGTCCGCATGCTCTCCTGATGCGACCATGAGAACTGACCTGTGCAGTCCGTGTCCGGAGAGCATTCAAGCCGCCTTGAATACGCCTGGTTAAAACAACATGTTTTTCTGCCATGGCACTACAACTCGCCATCGCATTCGGCACTCCAACGGCCGGCCTGCTCGCACATCATGCTGCGTACCATCGCGATGAACACGTACGCACTCCTTGGCAGCAGCGCAGCATTTCCTCGAGCGCGCTCTGCGGTGATGGCCAGAACTAGACGCACTTGACTTGTGATCTGACCAGGCTTGTCCCCAAAGGGCTACGGGAATGCCGCTCGCCACGGGATAGGGGGTTGCGAGGACGGGTCCGCAGTGCCGCGTCCCCCACACTGGGTCGCCCTCCCCGCCCCCGTAGAAGGGGCCCTTGGGAGCCGCTGTGAGACCGTGGCCCCTGGGGCGTATGGGAAACCATCTGGGAACTCCTTGGAGCCACTGGAGGCCTTTCGAGGCCCAGAGCGCCACGAAGTCCAACGCAATCCTTCTGCGCCACCCTTTCTGGTTAAACCCGCGGGAGGCTCCTGGAGCCGCTGGGAGGGCCTCAGGCGAAGCCGATCCGGCAAGCATTCGCACACGCTCGGGAGCCCTGCAGGGGTCGATGGGGTCCACCCCGCTGGGCGGCCTCGCGAGGATCCAAACGATTTGCACAACCAGCCCTGGACCACCTGAGCGATGAAAAAGGAGCCTTAGGCATGAGGACGCAACGACCTTACGCCAAGGCTTACGCAGGCCGCTAGCGGTGGGCGCTCACGCACGACCCTACGCGGACACGCTGAGAGGCCTCCAGGAGTGTTCGTTCGTTCGTTCGTTTGTTGTTGTGTGAGTGTGTGTCCCCGTGCATGCGTTTTTGTGTCCTCTCTCTCTCTCGTGTGTGCGTGCGTGTGTGCGAGTGCTCTTCCCAGCGTGGCCACCACCATGCACGCGACTCGCCCTGCGTTGTCCACCCATCTGCTACGCCAGGTGGAATGAACGCTAAGCGAGGCCCGCCCTAACCTGTCGCTGCAGTGACGTCACTCGGCCGCTTGAGAAACAAGTGTGTGTGTGTGTCTGCGTGTGTGCGTGCGTGCGTGCGTGTGTGTGTGTGGTGTGTGTGTGTGTGTGTGTGTGTGTGTGTGTGTGTGTGTGTGTGTGTGCGTGCGTGCGTGCGTGCGTGCGTGCGTGCGTGCGTGCGTGCGCGCGCGCGTGTCTGTGTGTGTGTGTGTGTGTGTGAGTGTGTGTGTGTGTGTGCGGCCGCCCCGTCTGTCTCATTCTTCTCTCCTGCATGCTGGGCCATTCGCTTCTCGGCGTCCCCGTTCAGCTCCTATCGCTGGTGCAGCCATGCTGCTTCGCCGCCGACGGAAACACTGTGCGCGTGTGAGCTCGTCCTCCCTTCTGCGGCCCACGAAGACCGTATTTTTTCTGCCTCGGCACCGCTGCGACTACCCTCGGCGAGAGCTCCGACACGCACAGACAGGCGTGCAAAGGGCTTCCAAGTGGGAGGTGCGAGCGCGAAGGACCGCCCAAGGCGGGCACAGGAGCAGATGCAGGACGCCTCGGCTGTGCCCGCCGCCGCGCTGTGCAGCGGCCAGAGTGCGTCGGGCCCCCCTGCCTGTCTGTCCGCTCCGCCTGCTTTTGCAGAGCGGTCGCTGGGCCCCGCGATGCCCCGAGCCCACGTCTTGCTCAGGGCCTCCAGGCTCTTCGCCGTTTTGCCGCGGCGGCAGCGGAGTCGGGCGCGAGACTTGCTGCGGGGAGCTCCGCCTGCCCCCCCCCCCTGCTTCGGGCACGCGCCAGCATGGATTCGGGATGCGTGGATCTGGCTTGGGCAGGGACCGACTGTCCTGACATTCCTATAGGCCTACCACGAAGTGTTCCTAGAACCCACACATGTTCAAACAGTAAAGACCAGGTTCTTGGAACATAAGCCCGATGTGTTGAAACAAAACAAGATCGGCCAGACATGTCCTGAGAACACCTCGTAGAAACCACACAAGGATCTTAGAACATTGTTTGGTGAGCCTACAGGCACGCAGGGACGCTTCGCCACTGCTTCACTGGCGCGATGGCGCCAGATGTATGAGTCGGGGGCGGTGCCCCCGAACCACGAGGCCAGACTGCCGCCATGTTTGGTGGCGGAGCGCGCCGATTCTATATATGGGAGCGGGGCCGTTGCCAGGCCACGCGCCTGAATCCATGTTTGCGCTTCATCGACCTTCTGCCCCCTGCCCCTCTTCGCCCTAGCTTTAGGTCGGGCATGTTCTCCTACAGGCGGGTCGTGGACGGAACAGTTAACCTTACGCAGGACCCAACCATAAGCAATTGCGGATATCACATCCTTGGTCCATCGTTCTATGAAGCCCTCGGTGGAGCTCCCTATGGGGCCACGATCCGTGTGAGGGGTGTGCCGAAATGTCGGCGCCGCCATGCGAACCCTGCCACTGGCGCCTTTTGTGGAGCTCCCTATGAGGCCACGAACCTCGTGAGGGGTGTGCCCAAATGGCCCGGGGCCGCCATGCGAACCCTGTCCCTGGCGCCTTCGGGAGAGCTCCCTATGGGGCCACGATCCTCGTGAGGGGTGTGCCGGATTGGCCCGAGGCCGCCATGCGAATCCTGCCACTGGCGCCTTCGGTGGAGCTCCCTATGGGGCCACGATCCTCATGAGGGGTGTGCCGAAATGGCCCGAGGCCGCCATGCGAACCCTGCCACTGGAGCCTTCGGTGGAGTTCCTATGGGGCCACGATCCTCATGAGGGGTGTGCCCAAATGGCCCGAGGCCGCCATGCGAACCCTGCCGCTGGGGCCTTCGGTGGAGCTCCCTATGGGGCCACGATCCTCGTGAGGGGTGTGCCCAAATAGCCCGGGGCCGCCATGCGAATTTTGCCACTGGCGCCTTCGGTGGAGCTCCCTATGGGGCCACGATCCTCATGAGGGGTGTGCCCAAATGGCCCGGGGCCGCCATGCGAATCCTGCCACTGGCGCCTTCGGTGGAGCTCCCTTTGGGGCCACGATCCTCGTGAGGGGCGTGCCGAAATGGCCCGAGGCCGCCACGCAAACCCTGCCTCTGGCGCCTTCGGTGGAGCTCTCTATGGGGTCGTGAGGGGTGTGCCGTGGCCCGAGGCCGCCATGCGAACCCTGCCACTGGAGCCTTCGGTGGAGCTCCATATGGGGCCACGATCCTCGTGAGGGGCGTGCCGAAATGGCCCGAGGCCGCCATGCGAACCCTGCCACTGGAGCCTTCGGTGGAGCTCCTATGGGGCCACGATCTTCGTGAGGGGTGTGCCGACGTGGCCCGAGGTCGCCATGCGAACCTGCCACTGGAGCCTTCGGTGGAGCTCCTATGGGGCCACGATCTTCGTGAGGGGTGTGCCGACATGGCCCGAGGCCGCCATGCAAACCCTGCCACTGGGGCTTTCGGTGGAGCTCCCTTTGGGGCCACGAAGCGCTGTACTGGTTGGGAGGAGGGAGGAAGGAGGAACGCGGGGACCGTCTCTTCAAAACATGGCCCAATACCACAGGATTGTTGGGACATACTTAAAAAATACTCCCAAATACTCAAGACTAGAAGAAAAATCGTCTCCAGCCTATTTTTTTAATATTCCTCCTGTAGAGGGACAGGCCCGACTTCAGCCTAGCCCCCCCCCCCCTCCCCTCCACCCTCACAGACGGGTGGCGGATTCGCGCGGCGGCGCAGCTGGCTACTCACCGAAGGTAGGCTGAAACGCCAACAGCGGAACGAACAGCGCCTACTGCACGAGAGTCGTGGGAACTGCTCGCGCAACTGAGACGAGCGGCAGGGCCAGAAGATTCAACACGCCCTGCCGAAGCAGTTGCGACCTCAGAGCTCCATTCAGTCTGACGGTCATCGCCGTGCGCGCGCGCGCCACTCAGGCCGGCACGAGTGATACCAGCATAAAGTACAGAAAAGTCAATAGCGGTGCTGAGCATTGGGCGCCCGAATCATCCGGGGTAACTCGGGTCCGGGGTAACTCGGGTTCGGATTCCCGAAAAAGGAACCCGAGTTAGCCCTGACCCGAGTTACCCCTGATGATGTGGGGCTCTGGGCGCCCCAAATATCCGGGGTAACTCGGGTCCGGGGTAACTCGGGTTCGGAATCCCGAAAAACGAACCCGAGTTATCCCTGACCCGAGTTACCCCTGATGATTCGCGGCTCTGAATAGCGGTGCTGAGCAGCTGACATTCGGCACGGACCCGCTCAGGTCGCCATCGGTGAGGGCGGCTCTGCGGGCTCCGGCGCGGCCTCGAGGGCGCGCTTCTGGCCCTGCGGGAGGCCGGGGCCCGCCGCGCCGGGGGCGCCGGGGCCGAACTGCAGCTGCGCCCTGTGCAGCATCTCGTACTCTCGGATCTGGTTTCGGAAGCCCTCGTTGATGGATATTCGGGTCGGGCGAAAGGGGGGGATCGCAAAGGGGGGGTTTGAGAATAAGCTCACGTAGCTGATTTTCCCGGCGCCTCCCGGCGCCGGAGGCGGCTACGTATCGAGGAATGCGCCCCTCGGTGAGGCCGAAACCAGCTGCATGCAGCAAATTTCGTAACCCCCCCTTTCCCAATCCCCCCCTTTCGCCCGGCTCGAGATATGCAGTGCCGCCTCGTCAGCACGTAGTGGTGCGCCAGGTCGGAGGTGAGCTCGAAACGCTGCATGACGTAGGCGACCACGAAGGCCGCCGACCTTGACATGCCGGCGTTGCCGTGCACAAGGATGCGCCCGCCCCGGCCGAGAACCCCGTCGAACAGCTGCTTCACGCCTGGGAAAAAGCGGATGATGTTCTCGAAGGGACTGTCGCGACACTCGAGGACCTGAGGGGGAGGAGGTGGGAGAGGAAGGAGGTGGCGCTGGATGTGTTTGGCCAGGAGAGTTTCTTTCACATGTGTGACCAGGGGAGTTTTTGGCTGGTATTTGGAGTTGGGGGGGTCTCGGGATGACGACATGCCCAAAGGCTTTTGGAAGGAGGTAGGAAGAGAAGGTTGGAGCAGCATGCAGCAGCAGAAGCCTTCCTCTCAATGTTTCCCTGCCTCCTGTCCCTTTTCAGCCTTACTTTTAGGCCGGGCATTTCCTCCCACAGGCGGATTTCGCACACAAATTCAAACGATCCAAAAATATTCAAAAATGGTTAACAAATAATAGAAAAATCGTCCTCAGAGAGGGAGGAGGAGAAGGACAGCGCCGACGACAATGACGACGACGCCGCTGACGACCCCCCGACCTCTCCTGGGTGCGCTCTAACCAACGTTCCGACCGAGGCGGATCCAGCCGTGGTCACGGGAGCGCCCCTCGAAGCACAGACAGGCCCAGAACCCTGATCGATCGATCACCCCCTCCTGCCCCCTTTGGGATGCATGGGTCCACTACCCCTTGGCAGTTCGAGGAACAAAAGGAGGGCGACGGCGGCGACTGCCTGCGACAAGAACGACAGCCTGAGGTCGTAGCTGTCCTGACCCGCCCGTTTTGAAACGCAACACGTGCCGTGCTCAAAACGTCCGTGCTAACACGTTGCGTGTTGGCTCAACATGTTGGCCCACCTTTTGGTGAATGTGCCGCGCTATATGTACGTATTCAATCTCCGTGCTGAACTCCGTGTCAACACGCTACGGGTTGCGTGTTGCGTACTGGGGAGGCTAAGCCCAAAGTTGAAAGAACCGCGCGATGCCAGAACCCAACGCCCACGTCGTCACGGCACGAACCTGCCGCGCCAACGGGGACAAAGCCGCCCCGCGGGCCGTTCCGCCCCCCCCCCCCCGTGATGCCTAGTCACGGAGCGTGACTGGGGGGGGGGGGGTCGAGGCCTGCCTCAAGGGGCCACGATATAGAGAAAACGCGATCCTCGACCCTCGATCCTCAAGCCTCGATCCTCAAATGCCGCCGCCGCCGACGACGACGACCTCTCTGGGGGCGTGTTTTTGGCCAGAACTCCGAGGCGGACCCAGCCGTGGCCACGGAAGGCCTCGGACCGCGACCGATCGATCGACGACGACGACAGTCCTCAAACGACGACGATCGAGCGACGACGATCGACGACGACGACGACGACGACGACCGATCGATCGACGACGACGACGAGGAGGGCCATCTTGAAACGCTCTTGAAACTTCTGGGGGCTACAGAAAGCCCTTGGCGGGTGCGGCCTCTCTCTCCAGGCCATCTTGGATACCCTGGTTGCCACAGCGGCCCTATCACGTTACAGGCGACAGCATGATGCGCACCGCCAAAATCTGGTCCCGACGTAGCTGACTCCATGGTGCGTTCGCATCTGCAGGCGCGAACAAGGGGTCCTCTAGATAGGTTGGCGCACGACTGCCCCCCTTTATGCTCCCATACCAGAGGGGACATGCATGGTTGAACCCCCAGCGGCAGCGGAGTGCGTGTGGTGTGCGGAAGGATGTCGAGTGGTAGCGGTGTGTTCGCGCGAGCATATGTAGCTCATGCTGCGTCTCCGCACACACAAACATGCGGAAGACAACAGGTACAGAAAACCACCACACTTCAATGCTTGTGTGTGATGGGGGAGGGAGAGGGGGGGGTGTAAACATGGTGCGCTCGCGTCCTACGTATATGAAATTCTAGCGCTCCCACGCATCTCAATCAGTCAGCCCCTCCGACGGCCGTTCGGTATACGATTCGGGTAGCTCCCGAAGCGCTTTGAGCAGGGCTGCGTTGAAAGTGCGCCCCGAGGCGAGCCAATCTCGAAGACCCCGCAAGACTTTTGCACCTCTTCCTTCTCCGTCGCCCCTTGCTGTTTCCCCTCCATGTCCTCCTTCTCCTGCTCCTCCTCCTCCTCCTCCGCCTTCTCGTCTTCCTCCTCCTCCCTCCTCCTCCTCCTCCTCCTCCTTCTCCTCCTCCCTCCTCCTCCTCCTCCTCCTCCTCCTCCTCCTCCTCCTCATCTTCCTCCTCTCCTCCTCCTCCTCCTCCTCCTCCTGCTCCTCCTTCTCCTCCTCCTCCTCCTCC